TTTGTTTTCTAAATACTGTTAGTCATCCTAATGAGATCTGCTGTTTTGTAAGACATCTACAGCAGAAGTAGCTTGGCCACACATGAAGGAGGACAGAGCTTCACCTGTTACTCATTTATATTGAAAGAAGGACCAAAGTAGCTAGTGACTCTGAGTAACCAGATCAGGACCGGAAAAGTGCCCAACTTCCAGATGAAGGAAGTTCAGATGGGGTGGGGAGGCGCGGGTAAAGTTCCCTAGGAAGCATGATTTGGGGGGACAATTCTTTTTTCAAAATCTTGGCCCAATATGCTTAATCACTGCTATATATAAGAAACTCATGGTTATTAGGCAGAGGTCACATTATAGTAAGTACTGCACAAGCACATAGTTCCACAAATGGTTCCTGCCCTAAGGAGTATAGAAAGACTAAGGTGGAGGGAAATAAACATACACCTGGGCTGGCTGTGTTTTCTAAAGAGCATTTTTGGACACAAACTGAGTTTTTAAGAACATTCTTTCTCCAGACCAGGATACATCACAGCAAACTTGGTCTGACTGAGGAGAGTGAGAGCTCCCAACTGCAGAGACATTTCAGTGTTGACTTCTGGCTATGAAGCCTAAGAGTTCGGTTAGTCCAAATATCCCTTTTTCCCAGATGGGAAAGACAGACTGATTTCTAGCCAAATTTTAGTAATTTTCTCCACTTTACAGACTTGGCAGTTTGAGCAGCTTGAATACACTCACTTCAGCTAAACAAAATGATATATTCTCAGTGAAAAAGAAGCCCAGCAAAACATCCATAAGCCATTTTTCAGCTCCTTCAGATTTAATTTGTCTAACATACCAATTCCTAGAGAATAATTACATTGTTTTTCTGTTCTTAAGTCTAGTTTTGATAACAATCAAATTCAACTTCTCTCTCCTCCTGACAGTATTCTTATTCTGTAATGTCTTCCTATGTCAGCATTCCTCTGCTTACCAGTGTGTTGCGCCTTTCAGTTGTATACACTTCCAGCTGACATGAATGAAATCAAGGAGGAGCTGGTAGCATGGATGGCAGGTTGTCTGCAACTTAATCATTTTTATATTAATGTAATCACACCTGCTACATGAAGCTTTTAATGAACATGAGTGGATAACAGTTGCAGGATATGGCCCACATACTTGCCTCAGTGTCTGCAGCTTGCTAGGAATTGCATTTCCACATAGTGGAGATGCCTACAGTTGTTTTAATGAAGCCCACAATGGCTGCATACAGCAGTACCCATTCTGGGATGGATTCTCTACATTTGTTCCTTTAACGAAAGCTGCCTGTGACTCAGCCATGAAGATTTGATTCATACATTTTAATTCACTCCCACCCAAGCCACAGTCACAGTGGTTGTTTCACAACTGCTATGGCCAAAGGCAAAATGACAGCAGTAGGCTTCGTTTCCATCATCACCTCTCCCAACACCACCAGCTTACCCTGTAGGGCAACAGGCTCCACAGCTTCGCTGTCAGCTCTCTCACCATCTTAATCTGTCAGGTTCTGGAAACCACTTTATTACAGTAGAGCACTGTTGTCACCCCTTTTCACATTAAAAAGTGCTGTTTTCTAAAAGGCTGCTACACTTCAACTGAAGCCCCTGTGACAGTACCACGAGGGACATTCTTTACTCACATGCCACCTGGGTGGAGATTTCACTCTTGGAAGCCACCTCTGAAGCTCCTTCATTTGTAAACTGCAAGAGGATCCAGATACCCATAGCAGCTGAATCAGAAATTACTTTAAATCAGATGATTTCTACAGTTTGATTGTCTTCAAGAGAACTGCCTACCTCTCAGTTCTGCTCTATTTCTGACAGTTTTATGGGTTTGACCATTAAACAAGCTGAAGGCATCTCCATGACAAGAAACCACAGTTTTTAGGATAGGGAAAGGAACATGTGAGCCAGACCCTGCATTTCTTGCACACCAGTGGGAATTCTGAGCAAAGTACCTAGGTGGCCCTTGTCTCTTGCAGCATTATCTGCTAAACCTTAATGTAGCAGCAAGCGTGACATTTATATAAAAACTGAATGACAAGGATCATTGTTTTCCAGTTATCTAGAAAATTCAGGATAATAACATAAATAAACCACTCAAGAAAACCTCTCTTTAAACTAGATTGTGTATAAATTTTAACTAGCGACTCATTTTGGTCATTTGCTACTTATATTTCAACCTTTAATCACTTTACCAGAGAGCTTCATTTTTGTAGACAATATCCATTTTTATGAGAGTTCATTATTTCATTCACACCTTCACTCTTACAGTTTCTTGGCTTAGACTTCTTATCCACATCTAGCAATTCCCTTTGCTTAACATTTTCTGTTGCTTTTCTAAACAAAAAAATGGTACAAAGTCTGCCTCATCTGAGCAGGGCAAGAGAAGCCAGTTACTACTAAAACAAGTTTTCTGAACTCAGAGTTTCAGCTCTGGAGCTGGGGGAGACTCTAAGGCTGCTCACTGACACTATTTACAAACTGATTCACTTGGGCTCTTATATGCCACTGCATGAACTTGCTTTTCCACATCAGACTGTTCTTAGCACAGAGGAGCACGATCAAGCAACGCTTTCACCTTTAATTCTGGGGTTCTTGCGCAAAAACTAGACCATTTCTATCACCCGTACATGAAATTCTGATTTGATTTCATTGGAAGTTCCACCTACAGAAAAACATTCGCAATATTATAAGACTGCATGACTATTTTCATGGCCATATATTTGAGTTGTGCTGCTCTTACTTGCCAAATAGAATGGGTGATCTTGCAAGAAACAATTACCTGACAACACACATACGATACAAACCTCTTCCAGGACAATCCCCACATTCCCAAAGTTCAGGGAAATCTTAATTAGTAGTCGTGATTTCAACTCCTATTTCCTTATATTGATAATACTATGCCTCCAGATTACACAGGTGGTGACAGAATATAAGCCTGACTACACAGAGATGGAAGCATGTAAGCCCTTGGCAAGCACATCTCTTTGGAAGGCAAGGGCATACATCTTAATACTAGACAGCCCTTCCTTACTGACACCAATATGCCACAGCAAGTTCAAAGAAATGTAAATCAGACACAACATTTACAGATACATAGACCTTCCTGGAGAATCCAGCTGTAAGAGTAAAGCAGAGTAAACAACTGCAAAACCCATTAGCACCACTGGAGTTTTACAACCTGAGCATGTTAAGTAACAGCACTAGCTGCAGGCATCTTGATGAGAATGGTAAGAGGCAAGCAGATTAATTTAGTTTTAAGATGCTATTTGTTGTCAATCTCAAGGTAGGCTTCTGTTTCCTCTCTGCACTCTCCACGTAGTAGCAGCAGCTCCTTAAACCACATAAAATAACTCGGCCAAGTTCCCTCTGAGAACGTTTTATGGAGTTTAGACATGTCTGGAGGAGTAACGTGAGGATGAATTGAATTCACAGACTATATAAAACAGGAGTTATACTCCAGTCTTGAGACACTACTTCACTCAACCAAAAAACCTCTATCTTCACCTGTTACATTGGATTTACTTAGAAAATAAGTCAAATAAAATTTAGCCTGAAGCTTTGAAAGCCCCCTGCCTTAAGGTAAAGTCTCGTTTTATTTCACAGACTAGGAGATTTGTCAAACTCTTTCACAAAAGTTACAAGAACAATAACCTTATGCCCTACAGCCAGAAAGCACTTCAGAGGCATTTCATGACTTGATACTTCAAGGATAACTGCAAACGATAGGTGATGGTCCAAAAAACCATGGCAGATTACTTCAGCAGAAACCAAAACATCTTATATACATGGCTTCATCAATGTAAAACACCACCAGTGCCTCAGCAGCCCATATATCAACTTCACGTCACTGTGTGATTCAAAGGGAAAACAAACTCAGTAATGCTTTGAGAAAACACAGGCATGACAGTTATTATTGTAGCAGATGAAGAAAGGACAAAACCAGGGCAGAGAGGACACTCAGCACATCAGTGACCGAGAAGTTACAAAGTAATAGAAGTTTCTCCTAAGAATGACAACAGAGATGAGAAGAGGAGAACTGCTGTGATGTCACCAGGGAGGGCTCCTGGAACAGCTGCAATAGAAACACAGAAAAGGGGGAACTACAAAGTTTGAGAACTATCTTCTTGGAGATCACATAAAAGCTCCAAGGTGAGGCTGCAGTGGAAAGTCTACTGCCCATGCACTAGAGACCTTTCCAGAAAATTAGTAATCCTGGGCAAAGATCAGTTCTGCCAGTCAAAACCTTCTTAGGCTAGTCTGAAACAGAAGAATGATTTCCTTTGGCAACTCTTCATCACAGACCTCATCAGTCTCTGCACCAAATACCAGACTTATTTCTTACACCTTGCCTTCTTTGACATACAAGGTGACATACATCTATGTGTATTTTTAAATTAAATAAAAACTGCACCAAAGCAAAGAGAAATCCCTCTCCTGAACATGCTTATCCCACTTGTGAGAAAACAACCATCCCATCACAGTCATGCTATGTACTGCCACTGCTGGGAAACATTCAAAATATACAAGCTGCAGTCACCATATCATGTAGAGAGTAGAACTGCATTTAAGCAAAATGATGCAGGTGCTGATAATAATCCAGCTGTATTGAACTGCAGCATAACTAGCGTGCCCTACAGAAGCACGGTGATTGCAGTGTAAGAATTTACATGGCGCAAGAACTTATACAGAAGAGAAACACTGTGTCTTGGTGTTTATGTAAAAGCACATACAGACTGCCCAGATTTTTAAACATCTTTGGGTTGTTCCACAGGAGGAATAGCAAACACACATACAAACACTCCAGTTTAAATGATAACGATCCCAAAACTCTCCATTGGACTTTACCCTTCCCGTTTTGCAGACTGCACTGACGGGGAGACATTGCAGAGCAGAGCAGCAGAACTTCCAGATCAATGTCTGGTAAGTTCCCCTCCTCAGTGGTCTTGTGATTGGAGATGCACACAGAGCAGAGCACTTCTGGAACAAGTCTTTAATATTTTAAGAGAGGATTCTTTATTCACAGAATGTGCAATAACTCCTTCCGAAGTATATGCAAAAATAAACCCTGAAGTTCTAATGAAGACACAGAGAAAGAAAAAAAAAAAAAAAAAAGCAGCACAGCAGTGTTCCAAGAGAATACATAATTCATGAGTTAAAAATTCAAGAAATTCAAGCACTCCCTTCCTATGCCTGGAGCTCTCTTAAAATATTAATGATCAAATCTCTTCGGTAAGTGTATGGGGTATACTTTATTCTGAACCAGTGCCTTGGGAAAAGGTTACCACTCGGGGCATACATTTTTGTCCCCTCTTTGCCCATCAGACCACGAAGAATCCTGTTGCGGGACAAGATTTTATCATAAAATTCAATCCCACCTCTGGTGTAGTCTTTGGAAACAGTAGCTGCCATTCTGTCAGCCTTGCAGTCTAGGTGATAGGTCATAGCGTCATAAGAAACGTAATAGCACATTAGTCCACCACCGGCAGTTATGAGGTTACAGATGCTGCGAAGTATCATGGGGCCACGAGATAAACCCAGGAGTAGCTTTATACCTCTCCCACAGAGAAAAGTACCAGCTAAGCAAGCTGGAGCCACAACTGCACTGGCTAAAGGGCTGCCGTTCTGCAAATACACAACTTCTCTGGCAATGGCAAACTTCTGAGCTTTAAGGGAAAATGTCAGAGCTTCCTTCAAAGCAACACCTTCATTGCTCTCCCAGTCTACTTCCTTGCCATTGATCACAACAACATGGTCAACTATTCCTTCTTTATTCTCAGCTGTGCTATCGAAGTTAGGTGGGATGCCCACCAACGAGCCTGCAGGCAGCCAGGGGATTCCAGCACTCACAGGGTGGAAGCCAGAAGCTGCAAAGGCTCGATAAGAGTCAGTGGACTTCACATCAGTATCTTGAAGGACATCCTGAAAGACACCATGAAGCCTCTGTGAAAGCTCAGCTGGCCGCCCCTCTGACCAGCACTCATGCAACAGTTTGAATGTCTGCTCAGGAAACACATGATAGGAAAGGTCAGCGCCAAACAGTCCCACGCAAGAAGCAGCCAACAAAGTGATCTTGCGCTTCTTTAACCACACAGATGCCTTCCGCAGGAACTGCACTGCCATAGTCAAATCCTAACCTGTTTATAACACAAAATCAGGAATTAAAGTGTGCATAAATGGGTCTCTCATCTCTGTAGCATTTTAAAAAAACAATGCAGAAAACATGAAAATAAGCAGAGCACAATAACCAACAAAACATTTTATTTTACATTAACAAAACACCTTTATAGAGAAAGTGATACTCATTAATTTGGGGGTCTTGGAACATAGAATGATTGAAATGAAAAATTAACTTCTCCCTCTCCTCCAGTAAACCAATTTACCACAATAAAGACGTTAATAAAGCCACCATAATTCCTTCTTTCCCCGGCAATCAATACACACTCAGTATTTACCCAACATACTTGTTTAGTGCTTGCCAGCACAATCCTAGTATTGCACTCCACTACAGACATTAAGATCAGAAAGAGCCAAAAATTAAATTAATCTACACTAACCTTCTATACAGTACAGCTCCAAAAATAGTAATGAGTTACCTCCATACTAAATTCCATAACTGGAGCTTGACTACAACTTCCAAAATAGGATCACATTTTGATTTGAAAATTTCAGGAGACAGAATTTTCCTTTAGAGTTTGTTCTAAAGGATAGTCAACCTCACTATTAAAAAAAAAAAAAAAACAAAACAAAACAAAAAACAACCAACAAACAACCAACAACAACAAAAAACCCACAAACCCAAACAAAAACAGTATGTGTTTTTTCTAGTTTTTTTCAGATTTCAAATTCCAGACAGTGGTTCTAGCTTACTCAGCAAAAAGCTATTTTCAGAAAGCAGCATGCTTTCAGTGGCTACTTTTAAAAATTGGTCTCTGAAAGAATTTCTGTGACAAACAGTACATGCAATCCAGAGCAGAACCTGGAACATACATTGTTTCAGGGCAGACAACTATGTTGTGACTCTTTAAATAAGCCGAAACAAACTTTCAAACCTGCCAACTCCTCCAGTTCAACAGTCCTGCTTCCCTTGGGGAGTATCAGTTCCTTTTATACTCTAAGCCATATGATGTGCTCTGCCCAGGAAAGCTCCAATCTCTTAAAAAATCCCATTGGCTACAGAATTCTCCCCTAAAATGATGCTACTATAAAGATATAAAAGCTAACTAGGCACCTAAACCCACAGACATTAGTGAAAATTGGATGCCCCTGTTCCTATTTGCATGTTGCAATGTCTCTTCTCTCGGGGCTTTAACACATGAGCTTCAGAGGCTCTTGTTGCAGCTGTTGAAGACATTAGTATTTCCAGCTGTCCTTACAGGAAGCTGAGGTGGCAGAAGGAAGCTGTGCTTTGATACAACCACCACGGTCATAGTGTAGAGTACCATCAAAGGTGGGTTTCAGCTATGCTGCTGGGCTTTGTAGAGCAGCAGCTGAAACACAGACATATGCTCACTTCTTCCACTCATGCTGAACAAGAACCTCCCACAGAGGGGTAGAGTGGACAACTGGGGGCTGTAACATCATAAAACAGCATTGCGTGACATGCCAGGATACACCAGTCATGATCAACAGCAAATGAGTATTAACCACAGGGAAACAAAAAGGGATTAAACTAAAGGCGGTGTTTTAATGATATATTATTACTGCTCCTTCCTATGAAGCTCTTTCAGATGGTAAATTCACCAGGGGAAGAATAATCTTGTTTAATGTTTATACTGCACTGAACACATACTGAGTGCTTAATAAAAACAATGATGCATATAAGTATACAATAATTTAATATGCATTTCTTAGTGTAATAAGCAGTGGTATTCTTACATTCTGCTGAAGACCGGAGGCGGTGATTTGTTTGACAAAATTATTTAAGAAAAACACACTAAAGAGCCAAGAGCTTGGATGAAACCCAATTTCGGGAGAAAATATCCTTGATAACAGAGCTAAAAACCAGAAAATGGTAATACTAAATCCAAATGACCTCTGTGGGGTTAATGACCTCTCAGCAAATCTGGTAGTCTAGATCTGATTGAAAAGGTCATGCCATTTACAGTGGGGGGGGGGGGGCAGCACTTCTAAGGGGATGACTGTGTGAAGACTATCACTTGATCCACATGTGAGGCCAAGCCAAGGACTTCCCAAGTTTTTCCCACTCATGTTAGAGAGCCCTCATTCAAGGGGGCTAACAGATATTTTTAAGATTGGGAACACTGCAAGGAGAAAATTCCCCACCCTCAGCTTATGTCCACACCAGTGTGGAGAAGGACAAACCATGCTGGAAACTACTCTGCTCTCCTTTCTTGCATGACCGACTGGTGCTTGCCAAGCACACGGGATGCCAATACTCCTCCCGGCCAGCGACTCGGGATGCCGGGAAGCACACCCGGAGAGGCGGGCAGCTGGCAGCCCACGGGTGAACCGCTGGGAAGTGGGGCAGGAAGCGCTGTGCTTATCTATACAGTTCTCCTAAACAGCCAAAAGGGCAAGGTACACTTCAATGAATTAACACTAACTTTTTTTCCCTGCTTCAATCATAAAAATTGTAACAGTTGGTAAGTTTTTTTTAGAATTCTTTTAAAATGAAATTATCCTTTGTGCTGGCATGGTTTCAAAACTTTTTGGACAGACCCCTTGCAGCCCAGGCTATGTTCTTACATGGATTATGCCCAACAGTCCTGCCACACACCTAAGGCAAGAATAAGCAGGAAATGCCACAGACTACTAATTTTCTCATGATAGTCAATACTCACGAAAATAAATAGAAAATTGTCCTCGATACTTTTTAGCATTCGTGCTTTCAATTCTTCCCAGCACAGACTTTCAGCTCCTGCTGAAAATCTCACTGCAGCCCAGCCCTAATTGCACATGGCATCTTTATACATAAACTTTGAGCAATTTACGTGTAAGGCAGGCAACCGGAAACTACAAGGCTATTTAGACTGACTATATCCTGCACATTTAATCATTTAGCTCAACTGTCGAAAAAAAATTAAAAGTAAATAAAAGGCGGGGGGGGGGGGGGGGGGGCAAGGGGAAGCGGCTAAAACCGGCTTTGCCCGAGGGGCGGGCGATGCCCTGCCCTGCCCTGCCCGTGTCCCCCCCCCTCCCCGCCGTGCCGGGGGCGCTGAGGGCCGGTCGCGGCGGGGCCCTCGCCTCGGGCCGGCCTGGCCTGGCCCGGCCCGGCCCGGGCTCGGCTCCCGCGCCCCGCGCCCGCACCTACCGAGGCTCCCCGCGCCGCGGCCCAGGCCGAGGCGGGGCTACGGCGGGCGGAAGGGGCGGGCGGCAGCGCCGTGATGGCGGCCATCGCCTCAGCGGCACCCGCGGGGCCTCGAGTAAATCGGCGGCAGAAACCGCCGGCGGGGGAGGCGCGGCCCGCAGGCGGAGAGCCGGGTCAGCGCCCAGGGGGACACCCCGGGCGGCCGCCGCGGCGGGGGAGCGGGCGGACTCGCTCCCGGGGCCGTGAACTTGTTCCTTGTGTTTCATGCTGTAACTCCCGGAGGTTTTCCTGCAAAACACCTGATATATGTGCTGTTAACGCAGCCCTCCCACCGCAGTGCAGGAATGCTTACTGGGAAGGCAATAAGCGGCATAACTTGCATCTGTCACGTCAGATTTTTCTCCGTCATCCCTTATAGGAGAGTAACACATGCAGGGATTTTTATTTGCTCTGAAGTTGTGATTTGCTCAAAGCAGAAGATGGCTGGTGTAGTTTCAATAATCCTACGTGGGTTTGTGTCGCAGCCTGGGCGTTCTGAGAAGGCTGGGGAAGGGCTCATGCCTCTGGCAATGCTGATTTGCACCCTTCCATCAGCGCTGGCCTCAGCCTTGTGCCTGGGTTGCGCAGCCCTCTCAAAACAAGGGCAGAGAATTGCTTTTGGCCAGTTTGGATAGTGGGCAGTAGAAGATTGGTTTTGCCCCATCGATAGGAAGGGCATGCGTTGGTGCTCGATGGTTGTCTTAAAATGTCCCTCCACAACAGGCAGTCATGAGGTAACCATTTTTCACAATCCATATGGAAACAATGCTTTGTAGTGGGTTGAGAGCAGAATAGAAATAAAAGCAAGCCATGGCTATTATCTACCTAGATTAATTTCGACAGATCTTTCTTTCTTTCTTTGTAGCAGCCTCTGATTTGAGACTTCCCTCACCAGTAAAGATTCAGTTCTTAGACCTTTTGGCCTGGGATTTGCTTTCATATAAAAGGATTAAGATTGTAAACTGAATACTTAAGAGTCCTCATTCAAATTCAGGACTTATGTGAAAGTATCCTAGTGAAGATATTTATCCTATCTTTTTCCTACAAGATGATCTCCTGAATTTTATAAATGCTAGTGCTAAATAGGCCTGGCTAGTCATAGCCAACATCCCTCCCTGTTGTGAACAGAGGCTGATAATGACAGCCTTGGATTTAACTTACAATAAACAAGTTGCTAATTGCTAAGAAAACACACTCCTTCATGAGAGGGCACAGTTCTACCCTTAGGTTATGGTTTTATGCAATATAGCAAGGCAGGTGAATGGTTTGCTGCCCCCCAAAGGGAGAAGTCAGAGCAAAGATCCCACCTGTCCCACCTCTCTGTCTCCTGAACCACTTTTTGCCAGATCGAACATCCATCACACTCTCCTGTGCACTGCTTTTAAGTCACTATCAGGAGAAAACATAGTAATGGAAAAGAAGGGATCATTTTCTACCAGGTTAGTAAGCTGAATGGGATAATTGAAAAGTCTGAAAGGTGCCAGGGCTGTAACAAGGCAGGAGACAGCCAGAAAAAAAGGAGAGGAGAGCTTCACCTCCCCCTTTATATCAGCAGAGAAATGTTATAGCCATGGGTCTGCAGCCTCGGTGTGTAGCTTCATCATCTGCCAAAACTTACAGTTTGTAAGTTGGCATTGATATTCATGCTTCAAACAGATATACAAAGAAAAAGTACATGCAGGTGATGATGGACAACTGGACACCGGATTCCTCACTAACTGAAACACAGTGCAATGATGGATTTTGAAAGCCTGATGGTCACTGAGACTTACCTATCCTACTGACAAATATGGAGGGTTGGGTGGGTTTGTACAGCCTGACTTTCTGAAAGGTGCTTCTGCATTCTGTACCAGCTGGAGATGACTACAAACCAATAGTTTCTTACACAAAAACTCAAGAGTCTGGCATAGCATTGCATTTGCACTATGGTTTCTCTTAAGAGCTTTATAGTAAATATGATTGTGAAAAGTAGAGATCTCAACTTTACTAATCACCATGTTGTCATGATCCTGGTTACAAGAAGCAGCTGCTACAGCAAGGAAGGTGAAAGTAGACTGAAGTATAGCCTATTTCTGTTGCATAAACACATTGTTATATTCAGATATCAAGGGATATAGACCACTTTTAAATTAGCCTGCTAGGTGGTGCTATAGGACATGCTCTAAATTACTAATTCAAAAATATATTACAGTTCTGTCTGATGTTTTACCGGAAGACATATAGGTGCCTAGCATCACTTGCCTCTCTTACCTACAATTTTATATGTCAAGGCTTGTTACTACATTAGCAAAAAAGTTAAGTACAGAACTGAAAGTCATTGACTTCCCTTAATAATTTGTGTGCTCTCACAGTCTATCTTGCTTATGTGATCTCCAAAATAAATGCAGTCAGTCAAGTGAGCATCCACCAGTCTGAGATACATACTTGTCTTCCCCCAACCTCTTCTTCTGCTATGGAGTCCATTTATCTGCCTTTTTGTGCAAGTTTTGTGGTAATCCAGCCTTCGGGCATAAGCTTTAATGAAGGATAGATTGAAGAGCCTTGCAATTCTGGCCCAAGTTTATGCAAAGTTGCATATCCCAAACACTTCTTCATGTAGTTCAGTTCTTGCAGGTGTCAGAGACGCTGCAGGGTTCTGGGACTAGGGAGATGTACTGTGTGAGTCCATGGCCACAGAGTAATATTGATAGCAGGAAGAGAGGGTTTATAAGGTCTACAGGACAAGGATCATCTGCTAATTATCCACAGAAGTAATCATGAAAAACAAGGGACTGTATAGTGTAGACATTAGGGGTTTCTACAAGAGCACTTGTCAAGTTAAAGACATGAGGCCAGAGAAGTCATCTGATGAATAACAGGAAATGTTAGAGTGCAAAAAAAATCTTGAAGTGAGATGTGTTAGCAGATCTGGGGAAGATCTTGTTGTGAAGGAAGGGTGTGACACGTCAGCCTGTTTTTTTGGTGTGGCTACCTGGACTGCTTTTCAATGTTGCTGAGCATACTGCTTCAGTAATGAGCAGCAAGTGCATGAAGGAGCAGTGCAAGGCTCTTGAGCAAAACATACACCTAGAAAGTACCAGTGTTAAGGTGACTTACAATGACCTGTGCTGGAAGTACTTCCAACTCAAGCAGAAGGCAACAGACAATACACTGAAAACTAATCTATTAAGTGACCATTAAGGCTCCTGACAGGTGTCAAAAGGCCAAGCCTGTTCATACTTAAATGGTCACCTTACTGCACTGAAGCAGAAAAGCTTGTGGCAAAATGGCTTTCCAGCCTGTCACAGAGCAAGTTACACATCTCCATACTGCAGCTAATAAAGTGACAGTGGGATTGAAGTGTACACAGCATTGAACAAAAGCATGAAGGTGCAGCTGTTGAGATCTCAGCAATTTCAGTTGCTGAAAAGGGAAGATATAGGCCAATATTGATATTTCCTTGCATGTCTCATTCCTGCTGCTCCTGTTATAGTTCCACTCCAGATGGAACATTCATGCTGTCCAGCTGATATGGGTTATAACTGCAATTTTTGCCTGTACTCTAGGATTTTGCTATGGGCTCAGATAGCATGGGTTAGAACCCATCTTTTTCCTTGTGTTAAAGTTTGGCTGGAGTGCCAAAAGCTCTGACAGTCTCATGCTGATAATTAAAGCCATGTGTAAACAATAGTAGGATAAAAAGTTTCCTCTCTCCTTGTTAGGCCTTTTCTGTAGAAAAAGAAAGTCTATTCCCAACCATTTAGCTTATTGCTGAGGCATGCATATGTTCTTAGAGATAAGTAAATAAATTGTGCTGCCCTCTCAAGAGAGGTGATATATAGACAAATATAGTAAAGGATGAGCATTTGAGAACACAGCTGTAGGAACAGACCAGGGAATTCTATTTCTGGTCTCAAATCAATCCTTCAAACCCAAATATTCAAGAAGGAGTAAAAAGATGGTTAACTGTGTTGTTGGGATTGGCAGGTATATACATCAAAGCGATCAAAGTAAAACAATGAGTCTTTAGAGAAGCTTGGGAAGAAAATATCTTCCCAAGGTACCACAGGTCAGAATTGGTCAGGGATCAAAAGCTAGTGTTTTAGAAGGCAGCAGAGAGGCTGTGAGGCATCTGGCTGGCTACATGACTTTGTGGGACTGACTTCTGTTGCCACCAAAACATAACGCCAAGGATGTTTGAAAGTATTCCTCTGCTTGTCCAGGTCTGCCTAAAACTCAGGCAGGCTCTTGGTGGCGGCGGATGTGGGAAAGGAAAAACATGCAGGTGATCATGTTTTTATTGCTTTGATACTGCATTTTCAGATCCTGGGACTAATATATAAGCTCTCTCAGCTCTAGCTGGATGTACCAGAAGTTGATGATAAAGAATGAGCATCCTGTGCAGTAAAAGAGGAAATCCTTCTCTCAAACAAGACTCCTTAAGTATAATCATCAAAAAAATCCTTGATCTGAACATCCTTTGCAGTCTCCGCAGAGGCTAACAGACATGTATCCACACTGACATGGACACTGGTGGAAAATCTGGACACTGGCAGCAGAAGGCTGAGAAGCAAACCCACTTACAGATTTTGGGCAAATCAATTCATGCTGAATTCCATGGTTCTGCAAGTAGTCTACTGCTATTTTTTTATCTGCATTGTACAGACAGACGCTATATCATATTGCATTTTGAATTGCATTAGGGACATTACAGACATTATGATGCCATTTGGTGAAATCAGAACAAAACTCACAAACTTTGAGTTTATTGTCTAGCCTGGGATTTCTTGCCAGTGTGTACAAGCCAAACTTTTAACCAGGACAATTGTACATTGTCTATAACTAATATAGTATTTATTTTCAAGAACTCTGGTCCTGCAATTATCTAGCTGTAGTGAAAGGAAGATAACTAGTGAATCAAGATGTCACATGTCTTCAT